TTATTATTATTTTGTGTGTGTGTGTGTGTGTGTGTGTGTGTGTGTGTGTACCGTCAAATCGGATCTGACAAGTACAGGAGGAGATTGTCACTCCTTTTCCCGGCAGAGCATCTGGTGGATTTGAACCGTGCGCCTCTGGGATTGCAGTGCAGTTTCTTGCCACTAGGCCACCAGAGCTCCCCTCTAAAATTTTTATTTTATTTTAATAATTTTAATCAGAGATTTTGGCTTTCCATTCATTAATTGGTGCACTTTTCTCTCTGCCCAGCCCCCCCAACCCCCCTCCCCAGTTCGCTCCTCTCTCTGAAAAGTAAAAGAAAAATTATTTCTTTGGTATGCAGTCCCCCTGCACCTCTCCCACCACCCCAAGTACACTCCACTATGCAACCTTAATTGTGGACTCTTGTGATAACTATAATATCCTATCATACATTGCTTTTAAATTATTCTCTCCCTCATCTGTTTCAATGTGGTATACACAATTTATCCAGTTTTTCTCAGTCTTAACCCCAACTCTGATATCAGTCGCATTTTACAGCAGTGGCACCATGCAGTATTTGTCCTTTTGTGACTGAGATATTTCACTCAGCATAATGTCCCCCAGGGTCACCCATTTTGAGTGATATTGCATGAGTTCCTTGTTTTTCAATGTAGCGTAGTATTCCATTGTGTGAATATACCACAGCTTCTCTATCCATTCGTTTGTTGATGGGCTCGCTTTTCTTTTAAAAAAATTATTTCATTGTTGCACAGTTTCCTCCCTCCCTGCCCCAGTCCACTTTGCTATGCACCTCTTATTCTGTACTGTTGTCATGTAAATAATACCTAATCATAGATTCATTATAAACAGTTTTTTCCCCTCATCTGTTTCAATGCTGTGTGCTCCCACCCCTATTCACTGTTGGTGGGAGTGTAAAACAGTGCAACCACTTATGGAAGGGAATATGGCACTTTCTCAAAAAGTTGGAAATAGAAATACCATTTGACCCAGCAATTCTGCTACTGGGAATATACCCTAAAAAGACCAGAACTACTACCTAAACTGATATGCACGCCTATGTTTTTTTGCTGCATTGTTCACAGTAGCAAAGAAATGGAAGCAACCCAAGTGTCCATCAACAAAGAAATGGATAGAGAAGCTGTGGTATATCCACACAATGGAATACTACACAGCACTGAAAAAACAAGGAACTCATAAAATATTATGCAAAATAGGTGACACTGGAGGACATTATGCTGAGTGAAATAGGCACAAAAGGACAAATACTGCATAATGCCACTGTTATAAAACAGGACAGACATGAGGGTTGGGAGGAAACTAAGAAAAGAGGAAATAAATAATGTACACGATGTTTTGCACTTTAATAGACCCTTTAGCAATGTTTCTCCCAATTTTACCAATAAGGAAACAAGTTATGAGGTTCCTGAGCAGTCAGTTGATGATGTTAAAAATCACCAAAACTTGAATGTAAGGTGTGTTGTGAGACTTTTTATATGCATATAGGAAGAGAAACTCGAAGCTGAACTCACTGCTGTTCCCTCCATGAAACCTAAGAATATGTCACATATGAATGAAGAGAGATTTATCTAAAGGAAATGACTCGTGGGCTTGAAGAGGCTGGCAAGTCCCAGGTCTGTGGCATGGGGCTGCAGAGTGCAATGAATCAAAGGTGGATAAGCCAACCCGTGTCTCACAGCAACCAAGTGAAGAGCTGGATGCCTGCTGGACATTGAGTGAAAAAGCAAGTCAGTTCCACCAGGCTTCCTTGTATATTATATATATTACATTAATTGTAGGTTATATTATAGATTATATTTATTAGAGATTATATTTATTATATTAGATATTCCTTATAGATCAGGCCATAGTCCTAATGAAATGGCCTCAAAATAGATTTTAGCAATCCTAGCAAAAGAATGATTTCATGACTCTAAACCTCATCAAAGGGATGACTCCTACCAACCCAGAGAGTCACAGGCATCCAAGCTGACAAGCACCTTAGCCATCATAGCCCATCTCTTGTCAACCTGACACCTGTACATATCTCCTTGAACTATTAAATAGAATTATGAAAGCCCGTTTCTGCCCACCATGCTACAACTAACGTGCATGCCACTGGAAATGCACTGTTGTTATTATGTGTCATTGAGCTGACTAAAAGTCATAGCGACCCTACCAGCAATAGCTCTGAACGATGCCCTGTTCTTGAGCCAATCTCACTTGTCTCTGACACACCTGCCCCTGTTATCTTGGTTACTATGTCAATCCATCTCATCCAGACTCTTCCTCTCCTGCACTGACCATTCCAGCTTCCAAGCTTGATGTTCTTCTCCAACGACTAGTCCCTCCTGGCAACGTGCCCTAAGTATGTGAGACAGTTTCAAAATCTTTGCCTCCAAGAAGCAACTTGGTTTCACGCCCTCTAGGACAGACTTGTTTGTTCTCTTGGCAGTCCAGGGTGTGTTCAGTATTCTCCAGCACCACAATTCACTAGCCTTATAAAAGTTAACACCATGAGGATATTTCAGGCACACGCACATGTAAGGAAGAACTTGTTGCTGTTAAGTGCTGTCAAGTCACAGGTGACTCATAGTGACCCTATGAAGGAGAGTCCTCAACGCTTGGGTGCCTTTCATCCTTTCTGCATGTTCATAGGGTTTCCGGAGGCAAGTTATTACAGAAGTGGATGACACTCCTCCTTCCAAGCTTGTTTTAATCTGGGAGCTCCAGCCCACACTGTCCGCATCCACATTGGGTAACCAACCATTAACACATTTGACACACATCAGTGTCACAGTGTTCAGCCTCACAGCAAGCACAAGTTACCGCTGTACGGCAACACATCAGGGCTATACGACCTAGAGGAATGTTTGAACAAAAACAATGAAAGACAGGCCCCAGGACCGTGGATTAAAAGTCACCCATCTTTGGCTTGGTAGCATCGCTTTCTGTCCACTGGGCCAAGGGATCTCTATCTTGGAAGAACTACTCATAACAATTATATTTGTAATTAACATTTAGAACTACCTTCTTCTATCACTCCTTCAGTTCGTTTGCTTTGAGCAAGCATCTAGTAGTTCTTTGCTTGGTGGAGTGACCCAAACATTTATCGTTAATGGAGATAAAGTTTTCCATTGATCTTAAACATAAAGCATGGTAATACCAAGAGAATCTAAGGAATCTCCTAAATTCCAGACACTTTTCTTACTGCCGTTGGTGGTGGTGGGTTGGCTGCACAGCTCCTTAATATTGGGCCACCAGAGTGCCCCCCCTTTTTTTTTACATAATTTACTCCCATTGTGTGATACCTTTCCACAGATGTAATCGATCTGATGCAGAGGGTTAAGGACTGCAGCCTACAATATGGATTGAGGCTCAATGTCAAGAAGACAAAGATTCTCACCACTGGACCAATTGGCAGCATCAAGATGGATGGTGAAGAGATTGAGATTGTACACAGCTTTAGTTTGCTTGGCTCCACAGTCAACACTCTTGGCACCAGCAGCCAGGAAATTAAAAGGCGCATTGCCATGGGAAAAATCTGCTGTTAGGGACCTCTCCAAAGTACTGAAGAGCAATGGTGTCTCTCTGGAGACTAAGGTGCATCTGATACAGGCCATGGTCTTCCCAATCACTTGTTATGCATCAGAGAGTTAGACAATGACCAGGGAGGATAGAAGGAGAATTGATGCCTTTGAGCTGTGGTGCTGGAGAAGAGTATTGAGAATACCATGGACTGCTAGGAAAACAAAGAGATTTGTCCTGGAAAGGGTTAAACCGGGTGGCTCCTTGGAGGCAAGGATTCTGAGGCTCCATCTAACATACTTTGGACATGTTGTGAGGAGAGACCGGTCCTTGGAGAAGGACATGATGCTTGGGAGGGTGGAGGGACAGCGCAGGAGGGGAAGGCCCTCTATGAGGTGGTTTGACTCAGTGACTGGGATAATTGGGATGGGAGTGTCAGAGATAGTACGATTGGCACAGGGCAGAGCAGAGTTTAGGGCTGTTGTACATAGGGTCGCTATGAGTCGCAAGCTACTCGACGGCACATAACAACAACAACAACATGTGATACCAGTGTGATTTGCCTTTGATAATCAGAATCAGTCACACCAGACAATACAGTAACTCGTTTTGTGTCCAGTTGATCCAGAGACATGAAGAAACCTAAGTGGTTGGGTGACATTCTTAACTTCCACTTCAGTGAGCTCAGTTCTGTGTCTCCAGGTGTCACTGTGCTTCTCTTTGGAACTAAAATTTCCAGGCTCATAAAGCACAGGGTCGCAGGGGCAGGAAACAAAATTTCTGTGATTGGGTCACTGGGGGAAATAGTGAATGGTGCTGCTCGTATTTCTACCCTTGGTCCTGGACCTGTGAGTATCAGTGTGGGAACTGATTGAGCAACTGTAGCTTTTCTGGTGATTCAAGTTAGACTGTCGTTCATCTGACCTAGAATGCCTCTGCTTGTGGAAATCTAGTAAGTATTCATAGATATCCCATCAGTTTTAATCTTAG